CATTTTGAAAAGAAAGTAATGAATCTTTTAATTGGGAAAATATTTTACAAAAAATGATTTGATGAGTAAGGTAGGCGTCACTGATTCCTCTGTGTAGGTGCAGCTACACAGGCCCGCTAACACGCCTTGTAACGTCAACTGGATCCACACTTTTTTAACTCCCCACCATATTTCGAACTCATTTTGAGGCTGGAAAATCTCACACAGATGATTCAACCAATCGTTTGTTTACCTGATGGAGAAACCCAAGACAACAGCAACAAATGTTACCGTTAAACGTTGCGCTCACACACGGCTCGACTTCGAGTCACTATAGTGAGTCAGAGAGGAGAAGGTCAAGTTTTGAGGGGGTTGGTGCTTTCGTTGGGTTTTCCCTCAACCCAGCCAGTCTCTCTCCACCCTGAGCCTGCACTATCTCACCTCCTCGCCCTGTCTGCTAACTGTCACTCTAATGGAGTCAGAGAGAAAGAGAGCGAGAGGCCAAATACCCGAGGAGAAACACCAGTCTCACCTCATTGCGTTTAACAGCTACCAGGGCTATGTCAGGAATGTACATTAAAGTGAATGTATACATATATCACCATTACAACAGTTTACCTGGTGCTGAAATCCATTATAGAGCTGTGTGTGTGCGTGCACGTCTGTTTGTGTTTCAGGCATGACTGAAAGACCCCAGCTTAATTATCTCATGCATTCAGATTTGCAGATTTTCGACTTTCACTCCACTTTAAAGTCAAATCTTCAATTCAATATCAGACGAACACTTGTGGCATCAAAATCATGAGGGGTAGTTAGGAGAAAGAGGACAATAAGCACGTACTTTATACTTCTCATGGACAAGTTGACATTTTAGCCCAAGCGAGAGCGGCTGAAATAAAGCCAAAGTAAGAACATCTCTCTTACTCCCAAAGCAAGAATGTAAACACACTAAATTCCTCTCAGAATGGCGAGAAACCTCTGACAGTCATGGATGGCTGTGTATATTTAAGTCAGCACTAAGTGTGTACTATAATAAAGTGCTAAACCTCTTCACAGATAACTTGTCATGTAGAGTGTTTTTGTATATGTGCACCTGACGCTCCCTGGAAAAGTTATTTATTCAATTAAAAAACAAACAAACAAATTGGTAAAGTGTGAATTTGTTATGTTGACTTATTTTTCCCCTTCTGTTGTGTTTCTTTTTTTTTGGTCTTCGTTGTTCTTTTATTATTTACACAAATTACACAGTCACTCAATACACAGGGAAACTCTTGTAATTTGAATAATGGGGTTTTCTTGTGCCACATGTGATGAGAAATTTCAGAGAAGAAAAAAGGCTCATGAAGTCAGGCAATTACTCAAATTGCGACTGAATAATTGAACTCAAGACAGGCAGCTCAACCGAGGACGTCAACGTCACAGCAGAAACCAAACAAAGAGAAACATCAGTTTAGAAAAATAAAGTCTACCTGCTGAAATTACACGAAATACAAGTCTGAAGACTGATTTTGTCCAAAGCCTTGCAGCATAACTGCTGGCTAACGTGACACATTTGTTTGCAACATGATGATCGCGTCTCTAACACCAACAACACACACACCGTGCCTGCAGCACATTTACAAAACACAACATTTATCTTCACTTGAATTCCTACCCTTTCAACCCTCAACCCCACCCTCCTCCAACTCATTTTTTGCTCTTAGGATTCCCAGGTTTACTTGATCTGTTCCCCATCACCAGCACTTTTGCCCCCACCCCCTCACCCACCGACCCACTCTCCCCGAACCCGTTAACCCTCCTGAATTTTAACAATATAAGTATTATTTTTTAGGAGGGCAGCATATAGGAAACATTTACTGTGAAAGAGAAACTTTCTCATATGACCACCCAGTCTATCATCTCATGTTAACCACCTGCCGTATCCGGTAAATTAAAACAGCGGAGGGGTTTTTCACACTGATGCTGTGCGTAAAAGTGGAATTAACAAAAAGAAATATTCAAAAACAGATCGGCGCTTATTTTCTTCACGAAATGCAGTTTTCTAGAAGTAAGGTCGGGTTATATAAATTTAAAAAGACCACTTTTCTCTGAAGTTTTAAGAAGAAACTTTATAATAATCAGAAAGTCTTACCTTCAAAAAATCTCTGTAACGCTTCTGTTTCATCTACCACGTCCTGGTCCATCCTAGCGGGTCCCACATAAAAAATCCATGAAAGTCTCCCCTTTTCCGAACGAAATCAATTCGGATCGGGGAAACATTCACACAAACATCCCGGACTCTAATTTACAATTATCGCGACTTTTTTTCTACTTGCGCTTCAATCCACCGTTTGCGAAGAACTTCTTTCCTCCTGTTCAAATAATCAAACCTTGGAACTGGATTAATATTCTGTATGTTCTTCGCCGTTTCAGCTGAATATAACTTTAAAGCTTTAATCTCGGTCGATTTGGGGTTTTTTTTTCAATTAAATTGTCACTAAAAGTCTCTGTAAGAAAATCATTAGAAACGTCCCTTTAGTCGCGCCTTCCCTTCAGCTCCCACACGCTTCATAGTAATGTTTGGTTTGCGTTCTTAAAAGCGATCTGCAGCCTCCTGGGGGACACTGGGAGAAAAAGTCGACGGTTAAATGAAAAGTTAGAAAAGAATTAAAAAGGGTTAAAGTTGACTCCCTCAGGTTGAGTCTCTTCCTCCTTTGCCTCTCCCTCTCAGACAGGATGCGAGCAGCAGAGTCGGAGGAGAGGAGCTGAGGCAGGTGAGGGATGTGCTGCTGCGAACATCCCAGGAGAAAAAAAAGGAAAAAACTTTAAAGTTTCTGTGAGGACCCAGAGACTCTGTGGTCTGTCTTTACAGATAGTTTCAATATGAATTTGGCATTGCTTCACTCTTATTATCATTATTTTGTTTTAACTTGGAGTTTTCTTTTAGTTTCACTATCCCTTTACAAAACAACTGATTATTTCCTTTAACTAGATCTTATTTTTATTTATTTAGTATCAGTGTTATAATGCTCCTAAACAAGTTATGGGCAATAACTTTAAACAAATCTGTTGTCATTTTATCTTTGCCACTTTCTTTTTCTGTGTGTAAAACCTTTTACAGAATCATAAAGATTTACTCTTTCTAATAGTGGGCTGGCAGGTGCTGTTAATCATATTATAATCTCTAAACTAAATCTATAATTTGTGATTTTGGGGAAAAAAGTAAATAGAACTGACTATTTTCCATGATCACAAACAGCTGTTTGTGATCAGAGAGGGCCAGTCCGGAACTTGATCAGCACAATTTAAAGTTCGCTTTCAGCAGGAGATGATTTATGATCCTCAAAATAAACATTTTCTCACTCATTTCATGTAATAAAAACATTTGTGAAACTTTGACCTGGAGTCAGTTTCGTGGTTTAAACGACTTCTTTTTGAATTCCTGAGCTTAAACGAGCAGCAACAGGAGTGTTTTGTGTCAAAGCTTCCCAAGGGGAGGATTTGAAGGAATGATCCATTTCTCTCAACCTTATCAGCTGCATCCCACCCCCCCTCCCCCTTATAACAATGCCACTGTGTGCAGCCCCCGCTGCCTTGACGCCCACCCCGCCCCCCGTTCCCCCACATGTGAGATGCCGTTGTGTTGTCTTGTTCCCCCACAGCTGGACCATCTCCCTCTCCACCCCTTCACCCCTCTGCTTTTCCTCCATTCAACCACAACAACGCCTCCGTTCTTCCAGCCACACTATGCAGATTGTTTCAGAGGACAAGCAAGAAAGAGAAACAGATAGAGGCTGCGGAGGACAATGAAACAGCTGGCTATGTTAAAGCAGTTCATTTTGGTATTCTGTATGTCTTATCTCATATAGCTCGCGAACTGTATGTGTGTGTGAATGAGTGTGCCGCACACATGCACAAATCTTACATGTTGTGGCAAAATAAACCCTGCGAACAAAGACATATGGAGACTTTGGAGTGTGGTTAAGTGTGGGGTGAGGTTTTGATCATGACTGTCTTCCTTAGCAACAAAAATAATAAATACTGAAGTTATCAGTTAAAAACAAATGACAAATTATATCCTGATACTCCAAAATTTAAAAACTTTGTTGGCAGACTGTTCTGTGACCTGCGTTCCAACTCTCACCCGGTTTACTGATGGACTGTTTAGCCACTTGGAACAAATGAACAAAACAGAATCAATTTGTACTTTTTATAGCCTAATAATCAAGTGAGCAATCAGTGACCTAATTAAAATCCAGCATCTATGGACTCCATTTAGCTCTGCTTTTGCTCCTGTAGGAAATATCTGGCTTTTCAGTGTGGTCAGTGTGGCAAGGCTTCAGTTGAATGAGCCTTGGATTGGGATCTGGAGTGTTTGGAGGCCAAGTCAAATCCACACATTCATTAAACACGTATGTGTTTTATTTAAGGTATAGATGAATGTATGGTTCTGTTGTTTTTCTTACAAAATGTGTAGGTGTTAGTCCCCGTAGGGAAATTACTCCTCTGCATTTAACCCATTCACCCAGTGAAGCAGTGGGTGAACAGTACCTTGCCCAGGGGTACCTCAAGTTAGCCGTTCAGTGAAGTTGAACCCCTGACCTTCCGATCATGGGGCAACAACTCTACCTACTCTGCTATCCCTGCTATCCCTTTCAGCATGTATTTTTGATGAGTAGTTTATTATATCTAAACCATACAAAAACATGTTTTTCTATCTAAGATAGCTAAATCTATCGTTAAATGCAGTAGATGTTAGTGTTTCAGCAATTAATCAGTAAAAAAGCGAAATTACCAAGGCCAATAAAACAAAAAGCAATACAGTTTATACCAGTGGTATCAAACATAGGCTTTAATCTGAAAGCCAACACCTGTGATCTAAAAGGGTCCAGTCCAGCGATAAAGATGACTTTGCTTTACTTACTTTATTTATTTTCCATTTTATATGTTAGCTATAAAGGGGTTTTTTTTTTCTGGCCAGGCCCAAAGTGTAGTTTTATCTTCCCACCAGCAGGCGGCGACGTTAACGTTTGTAGTTTAAAGAGAGTAAAAAAATCAAAATGGCGCTGCCCAGACCAGGTAGGTGGACGCGTTGCTATGGTTGCTAAACACAAACCTTAGCAGTAAACGTATCACAACGTTTAAATTGTATTAATTTAACGCACAAAAACTTCACAGCGGTGTTCTTCCTGTTTTGGTCCACTGTGCCGAGTCTAATTCGGTGTGTCTGTGTCTGCAGGGAGGCCGGCGGGTGTCGTATCCTTCTCTTTTTATTATTAAAACGTACACGCCACAGTCAGAAAAGTATCTGATAACGAGTGATGCTTAACTTTGCACCCAGCTGTCGTCTGTGACTCTGCAGCTGCTGCTCCATGTGACAGCCGCCTATTTTGTCTTCTACTTCCTCTTCACTCTCGGGTTAATCATCAAAAAGAGTGAGTGATGTCTCTCACGCGACTTTTCCAAAGATTCTGATGTACCTGCACTCGGTAACCGTGTCTGCTGCTCTCAGGCTTGGTGCTGTCTTATCCTTCCGATGCTCTGGTGTGTGACATCTTTCTGCTCTTCCTGCTGGCTGCTCTGGAGTTTCTCCATTTCTACAGTGGTAAGAAAACGATCAAAAAGCCAGTTGCACCATTTCAAGCATGCTGTTATCATGCCCTACTTATTATACGTTTAATACAGCTTCTTGAAGCTGGCAAGGTTGATAGAAAACATGCTGGACCCTGCACAAATTCACATTTACTTTAATACTCCTTACCCGTAACTATCTTACCCATCCAATTTGTAGGTCTAAACTGTGAAGTGTGATACATATACTTAATACATGTAAATATTTGTGTTCCAAGTTTCTATTTACATTTTAGCACAACATGTAAACAAGAAGGAAAAAAAACATGTGCGACCGCTTACACGCACTCATGATAAACCAGATTAACCAGATTTGGTTTATTATCACAAGATCCTGGATTCAAAGAATTTCAAATCTGATTTTATAAAAGGCTAAATAAGGTAACTTTTTATTACAAAGGTCTTAGTTAACAGGAAATTGCAAAAAAAATCCGTTTAAAATTATGTCAGATTTTTATTTATGGCTTATTAATTAGGTCTTTGCAACATCTCTTCACTGCAAAGATTGTTTATTGGCTGCTGGTGTGCTGTAGGTCAGGAGGTAAAGGTACATATATGTCATTAGATAGAAAGCGCTTCAGCATATGAATGGGTAAATAAAGTGCTTTGAGGGTTCTTTGAGAGTAGAAAGGCACTATTTATAAACCAGTCCATTTACCATATGCAGCAATAGCACCAGTTGTACCTTACAGAGAGTGGTCCAAAAAAGAGAAAGTATTGAGTGAGCAGCAGTTCTCTGGGAGAAAATGTCTTGTTGATCCCAGAGGTCAGAGGACTGCTTGGATTTCACCACTCGTTACAGCCAAGGCATGCAGAAGAGCATCTCACAACACATTGAACCTAAAAACAGAGGGGCCACAGCAGCAGAGGACAGCATCAGGTGCCGCTCCTGTCAAGTGAGAACAGGAAACTGAGGCTACAACACTGGCTCACTAAAACTGGACAACAGAAAATTGAAAAAATGTTGCCAGGTGTGGTTCTTGAATTCAGCTGCGACATTCAGATAGTATGATCAGAATTTGGTGTAAACAACATGAAAACATGCATCCAT